CACCTCGGAAACCTCCCGGGGGCCGGCGAGCGCTTCCCGGCCAGCTGCCCCGCGCCGCGCAAGCCCGAGCAGCCCGCGCCGTCGCGGCCGGAGGACACACTGACCGGAGATGGTCTCCTGGTAGCCCTTGGTGAAGAACTGCATGGCCGTGGCCGCCCTCCAGGGTGTCTTGAGCAGCCCCTGGCGCTGTGGGTCCTCGCCCAGCGAGCGCAGGATGGACGAGTAAGCTGCCGCCAGGTTGGGGAGGTTCAGCTCGTTATCCTCCACGCTGCGGGGCCGTTCGTCCTTCCAGCCGTCCACTGGCTGGGCGCTCTTGGCCTCGGGCCTCGGGGACTTCTCCACCGGCCGGCTTGGCCCCGGGCTCCGGCTCAGGAAACCCATTGCTGCACCTGGCGCCCCGCGGCTTCTCCGCCAGCGCCCGTACCGGACCCTTATCCATGGTCCCGCTGCTGCCGTCCGGAGGGAGCTGGCGTGCTTGAGGCTGCAGCTAAACTTCGTCGGCAGCCTCCAGCAATAAAGAGTGGCCAGAGTCACCCGAGCAAGGCAGGAAAGCGGCCACCGACGTGCTTCGGGACAAGGGCAGGGGCAGGGGGGGCAAGTCGCGGCGTTTTTATGGCCCGGCGGCTGGGCCGGCACCGCGGGGCGTTCCCATTGGCCCGTGCCTATCGCGTCATGGCGCTCGCCCCGCCCCTCGCTCTGCCCTCCTCAGGGCTCCCCAGAACACCGGAGAGGCTGCAGTAGGAAGGCGGTGGTCTCCCGCGGAGGTGCGGGTCTGCACCCTGGGCCCTTCTGCTCCCGCTCCAGGAGCAGATTGAACCCCTCAGGACGTTGCAGGATAAACCGAATCCGAAAACAGCAGGTGTCAGGAAGCTGGAACCTTGCGTGGAGAGACATGGTCTGGAAACCCGGTGCGCACTCTCTCCCCTTTTGGCCCCAGAGGTGCTCTGGTTCCCCCTCCTTGGGAAGACTAAATAACAGGTGGCTTTGCCAGGGAAAAGATCCAGTGAGGTCACTGATCAAATAACCAACTCCTGTGTTGTTAAGGCAAGAGAACAGTGCCTTAAAACTCTTGTATTCGTCCAGAGCCCTTCCAGGGCGCGTGTTACACCAAGGGACCCTTTTGCAAGTCCCTCTGTATGGAAGAATAATATTTGTGGTGGCCAGGACTTTAACCCTGGAGAAATTGATTTGCAAGCCAAGAAAATCGTGGAAACGCAGATGTGGAAATGTTGTGCTCGATCGATAGTTTTAAAGTGACGTGCAAAGCTCCTTTCCCCAGATGTTGGTACAAATTGCGCAGTTATTGACCTACTGGACTCTTAACCAGATCAGGGACATCCGCCTTGTTTTGTTTCTGTTTTCTTTAGGTCTAAAAAATGGACCTTTTTCTCACTTGAGGGATTATGTCATAATGCCAAAGGTAACTTCAAAAATTCGTTTCTTGCTTTCTGGCGAGCGCCCACGCCCTATAGCAAAAACCTCTCAAAAAAAAAAAAAAACTGGTATAAAGGGACTGTCAGATGGCATAGAGGTTATATTGCTGGACTCCCACGTTGTTGACCGCGGTTCAAGTCCCAGACCCATGGCTTCAAATTCACACAGGTTTTATGCGTGTGTGTGCCTAAAATCCTGGGAGGAGAATGGAGAAGGGATTGGGGGGGTGGGGGAGTTCTCACTTTCCCTCTCACTGTCTATGTCTCTGTCTCTGGCAAGCGCATATGTCCTAAGGCAAAAACCTGTTTAAAAAATCAGGTATTGGGCAGTGATTAGTGCATTGATTTAGCTGTGCATTGAAGCTAGGTCCTGTATGACTGACAGCATTAGACTCCCACTCCAAAATATGCAGGATTGGGCCAGCTGGTGGTGTGATTAAGGCTGGCGGGTCCCAGATGGCCAACTACACACTTGGAGTCCCCATCAGGTGGTTTGAAAAGGCCCATGTGCATGCATGCTCAAAATCCCACAGAGGGAAAGCTAGGAGAAGGGATTGCGGTGTGGCCATCTCCCCCTGGAGGTGATTTCTCACTTCTCTCTCTCTCTCTCTCTCTTTCCAATGAGCACATGCACCATATAACAAAAACTAAGAAAAAAACTTTCAATTGAAAAATAAACTGTAGGGCTGTGTGTACATGGGACCCAAAGTCTCAATAAGATGGGGAAAGAGGATTGCTCTGTGATCATGCCCTACTGAGGGGATCTCTCTCTCTTTTCTTTCTCACTCTCTCTTTAAGAGAGAGAGTTTTGCTATACAGCATGTGTACTCACTGGAGAACCAGAGAGAGAGAGAGAGACAGAAAGACAGAAAGTGAAAAATCACCTCTGGGGGGATGGCCATGCTGCAATCCCTTCTCCTCCATTCTCCCCTTCTCTTGGAATTTTGGGCACACATGTATGCGTGACTGGCATGAGTTTTAAGCCACTGGGTCTGGGACTTGAACCATGGTTGACTGCATAGGAATTCAACAATGTAACCATTACACCATCTGCTGGTTTCCAACCCAGCAATTAAAAAAAAATTTTTTTTTAAGATTAGGTAGTAAAAGGCTTATGACCAGACAAACTAGGAGGGAAACCCCTAAAGTTATTCTGGACATAAAGCAGCTTTGTCATTGTAATTACTAATTGTATTTAGTGGAAGTACATTACAGAATAATTTCATAAAAACATTAGTTCAATAAAACAAAAGCCAAGAAAATAGTTTTGTATTGGGAACAGCAGATGGTGTAATGACTACGTCACTGGACTCCCATGTAGTTGACCGCAGTTCGAGTCCCGAGAAAGGATCGTGACATGCCCATTCCCCCGGGGGATGATTTCTTGTTTTCTGTCTTTCTGGCAAGCACAATTGCTCTATAGCAAAAATCTCTTAAAAAAATTTTTGGTATTATCTGCTAACGTTAAATATAAGAATACTCTATGATGTAGCAAGTCTATATCCCCTGAATATTCTAGAGGAAAATGTATGTTTATGTGCCCCAAAGTGTTCATAGAAAATATTGGGTCATCAGAAAAGTCATAATGTGTTTTTCTGTGTAAAAATACATCATGACGGGAACCAGCAGTTAGCGTAATGGCTATGTCGCTGGACTCCCATGTAGTCGACCGCGGTTTCTGTCCCGGACCCGGTGGCTTAAAACCCACGCCGGGCGCGTGTGCGTGCGTGCCCAAGATCCCAAGAGGAGAATAAAGGAGAAGGGATTGCGGCGTGGCCATCCCCCCTGGGGGGTGATTTCTCGCTTTCTGTCTCTCTGTCTCTCTCTGTCTGTCTGGCGAGCGCACGCGCGCACGTGCCCTATAGTGAAAAAACTCTCAAAAAAAAAAAAATCATGACTTTTCTGTTGACCCAACATTATCACAAGAGTCCCAAACCAGAAAGAACCCAGGTGCCTAGCAGTAAAAGGGTAGATAAATATGCAGTGAAATTCTCTGTAACAGTGGAAATTAGTAAGCTGCAGCTAATGTAACATGATCCACCCCAAGCTTCAGCCAGCTCTGGATTGGATCATGGGCATGTGTGATCCGTACCCAGGGAGGGCTCCAGAAACAAACCCAGAACTTTTCTCTGTGCTTCAGACTAACAGAATATCATGTTTTACCAATTCACCACAGTACAACCCCTTAAAAATGTATATGCTGTGGGACCAGCAGGTGGTGTGGTGGTTAAGGTGCTGGACACTCCCACATGACTGACCACAGTTCGAGTACCAGACCTGGTGGCTTCCTTTCTCACTTTCCCTCTCTCTCTTTCTCTGTGTCTCTCTCTGGACAAATTAAAATAAATGAATGAATAAATCAAATTAAATAAATAATTCTTAAAAAGTGTATATGTTGCAAAACAACTTAATAAAAACATGAATTCAATAAGACAAAAGCCAAGATAATAAAATAGAATAGAAAAGGGAGCTGCAGATCTAAGGAAATAAATTGAGAACCATTATTATTATAGAATTAATTAGAAAGAACCATGTACGAACTAGACTTGAAAATTCAATTACTAATATTGAGGAAAAGCAAGCAAATGAATGCAAAATAAAAGACAAGGATGAAAGCTATTAGAGAGGATAAAGACAATCTAGGATAAGGATAATTAGGGTTCCTGAGGTGGAAAACTCAATGAATGAGAGGAAGTCTAATCAAAGACATAATATCAGCACATTTCTCTACCAGAAATAACTCCTTACATTTATGTTCAACTAATTTTCAACAAGTGTGCCGAGACAATTCAATTGGGGAAAGAATAATCTTCAACAAAAAGCACTAGAACAATTGGGTATCTATTGATACATGCAAAAGAAAAAGTTCAACTATCTTTTTTTTTTTTTTTTCCAAAGAGACATTTTATACTCCAGGCTGGGGAAGGCAAAAAAACCTCAACTACTATCTTATACCAATATAAAAATTAAGTAAAAATAGATCAAAGACCTAAATGTAAGAGGTACAATTATAAAACTCTATAAGAAAACAGGCATAAATTGTTAGGACCTTAGATAAACAACTAGATTTCTTAAAAATAACACCAAAAGTGAAAACAACAAAAGAAAAAACTAAATTATAGGCCAGTAGGTGTTGTGGCAGTTAAGGTGGCTGGATCCTACATGGCCAAGTGTGGGGTTTCAGTCCTAGGTCCGGAGGTAGGAAGAACACCCTAAGCAGGGCCAGCAGATGGCATAATGGTTACATCCTTGGACTCCCAAATAGTCAAGTTCAAATCTCAGACCCAGAGGCTTAAAACTCATACGGGGAACCAGCAGATAGCTTGATGGGTACGTCACTGGACTCCCATGTAGTCAGCCACAGTTTGAGTCCTCAATTCAGTGGCTTAAACTCACACAGGGCATGTATATGCGTGTGCTCAAGATCCTGAGAATGGAGGAGAATGGGTTGCCGTGTGGCCATCCCCCCGGGGGGTGATTTCTCACTTTCTGTCTCTCTGTCTCTCTCTGTCTTTCTGGTGAGCACATATGCCCTATAGCAAAACCTCTCTAAAAAAAAAAAAATCTCATACTGGGCACATGTGTGTGTGTGTGCCCAAAATCCCAAGAGGAGAAGGGGAGAATGGAGGAGAAGAGATTGTGATGTGGCCATTCCCTCAGAAAGTGATTTCTCACTTTCTGTCTCTCTGTCTTTGTTTTTCTGGCTAATGCACGCACCCAAAAATCTCTCTCTTAAAAACAAAAACAAAAACCCTAGGCATGAGTGCAAGCATGTCTAAAATCCTGAGAAGAGAAGGGAGGAGAAGGGGTTGAAGCATGGCCACCCCCATGGAAGGGTTCTTACTTTCCCTGTCTCTCTCTCACTCTCTCTGTCTCTGTCTGTTTCTGGTGAATACATAAAAGGTTTTTTTAATATAAAAATAAAATAAAATAACAAATTAATTATACTTAACTAAAATTTTAAAAAAACTTTTGTGCTTCACAGGACGTTATCAAAAGAGAGAAGAAAACAACCCACAGAAAGGGAGAAAATATTTGTGAGTCATATATCTCATAAGGGACTAGTATCCAGAAGATAGAAAGAACTCTTACAACACAATAATATAAAGACTGATACCCCAATTCAAAAATGGACAGATGCTTTTAAT